GCTCCAGTCCCTGATGAAGGTCCCTCCCCAGCATCCTTGTAGCCCCCTTCAGACCCTGGAAGCTGCTCTGAGGTCTCCAGCAGCTTCTCTTCTCCAGGCTTAACAGCCCCAATGTTCTCAGCCTGTCTCCAAACAGGACCTGCTCCAGCCCCTGAGCATCGTCGTGGCCTCCTCTGGTCTTGCTCCAGCAGCTCCATGTCCTTATGTTGAGGACACCAGCCCTGCACACGGTGCTGCAAGTGGGACCTCATGAGAGCAGAGTAGAGGGGCAGGATCCCCTCCTTTGACCTGCTGCTCACACTCATTTGATGCAGCCCAGGACACAGCTGGTTTCTGGGCTGTGAGCACACACTGCAGCCGGCTCCTGTTCCGTTTCTCATCAGATTTCATTTTCAAGGTTTTCTTGTTTAAATGCTGTTTAGTGGATGATAGGAACAAATAATGGGTCAAATTCTCCTGGCAATTTGACTTCTGTAGATTAAGAGCAATTCTGTAGCTTCATCATGTTCCATCAGGATAAATTAGGATGTATTATGAAAGCAACTGAGAAGTTGTTCCCTGTGACAGTCAACACTGCTGTGCTGTAACATGTAGTTGTACTGAGCATGACTCAGGTTCCACTTTCAGCTGGTTTCCCTGACAGGAGCACTCTGTAGCAAGTGCAACAGCTGAGGAAAAAGTGATTTTCCTGGGGGAAAAGTTTGATTGAACCCTTCATTTAGATCCAAAGCATCCAAAGCAAGAAGAGAGTGCTCTGAGCGTGTGGGTATGGCTGAGAAACTCCCTGTTCACCAAGCGGTTCTGGGCCACAGCTTCCTCAGCTAAACCCCACTCTGCATGTGGACTGGCAGAAGGTAAATTAAAGCAGGTCACAGCCCTTCTCATGCAGCTCTTGGTTTCAGTTCTTTAACACAAAAGGATGCTTAGAGGACTCCGGAGAAGGGCACCGGAGCTGGTGCAGGGCCTGGAGCACAAGTGTGATGAGGAAGGGCTGAGGGACCTGGGGGGTTTAGTGCGGAGAAGAGAAGGCTCAGGGGGGACCTGATCGCTCTCTGCAACTGCCTGACAGGAGGATGGAGCCAGGAGGGGGCTGGTCTCTGCTCCCAAGGAACAAGGGATGGGACAAGAGGAAATGGCCTCAAGCTGCCCCAGGGCAGGTTTAGGTGGAGCTGAGGAACAATTCCTTGCCTAGAGGGTGCTCAGGCGTTGGAACAGGCTGCCCAGGGCAGTGCTGGGCAATGGTTGGACTTGATGATCTTGCAGCTCTTGCCCTGGTTGATTCGATGATTCAATGATTATGGGATTGTCATGGATAACATTGCCTCCGAGTGCTTGCGCGCTGATTTCACGTGCACTACTGGGACTGGGGACAAGGCTTTCCCATTGGCAGTGTATGTAGGCTTTGCCTGGGGCATCTGGCAGTGGTTCTCTCTTGCAATAACGTTAATTAAGAAATTAATCTTCCCTTTTTTGGCCTCGTCTGATCAGATCAGCACAACCCAGTCAGTCCAGAGGGAGGTGGAAACCATGAGATGGTGGCTACTGGTGTAATTCTCCTTCCTGAAATAGCTGTTGGTTTCACACGTTGCCTTGCTCTTACCTGTGCCTAAAATGCAGAAGCTCATTCTTGGGTGTTTTTCAAAAGAAAGGAGAACATGAAGTTATTTGAGCATTACTTTAAAAGCATTTAAAACTTGCTAAAGCTTTTTGGTTTAGTTTGCGGCACCTGAACCCTGTCAGATTCCTGCTCTGAAAGGCTTCTTTGGCTGCTGAAATCTGGGTATTTCTGACATAGCTGTAATGTCTGGAACAAAGAATCTGTTGAGCAGGAGGGGCAGAGCCAGCTTTCAGGAGTAAGGTCAGGCTAATCTAATCAGTCTAACAGTGCTCCTCATAGTTTATATCTGTTTATATTCGTTCTGATATGCTGCTTATCATCACACTTTGTTCAGCTCGAGGTGCCAGCTTTTGTGCAATAAAGCAAACGTGTGCAATTTCCTTTGTTTTTGTTGAGGCCTGTTTGCGAGAGAGATTCCACACAATCTCTTTCAGCTTTTTTCCAGTGCCTGAGATTACAGAAATATGTTGGCTCTTAGGCTGAGTTCTTGTTTTCTTAGAAGGGAACAGTTATGACAGACTAATAGAAAACAGAGTGTGGTTTGTCAAGGTGCCAGCACAGGCTGGTGGGGAGGAGCCAGGCAAGGTTGTAGTCGTAGAGGAATACTTCTCATTGAATCAATGGTTTGGGTTGGAAAGGACCTTAAAGCTCATGCAGCTCCAACCCCTGCCCCGGGCAGGGACACCTTCCACTAGAGCAGGTTGCTCCAAGCCCCTGTGTCCAACCTGGCCTTGAACACTGCCAGGGATGGGGCAGCCACAGCTTCTCTGGGCACCCTGTGCCAGCGCCTCAGCACCCTCACAGGGAAGAGCTTCTGCCTTATCTCCAACCTGAACTTCCCCTGTTTCAGTTTGAACCCATCACCCCTTGTCCTGTCGCTCCAGTCCCTGATGAACATCATGTGCTCATTGGCACTTTGACTAAATACAGAAGACACAGGTAGCTTTAAAGGAGGAATAGCTTTAAAGGAGGAATCCCCATCCTGCTCCTTTGGGTTTGTGACCTTGTGTGAACTGCACGTCCTCCAAAGGTTCATACACTGAGGAGGCTGAAAGTTACCTGGAGTGTCTTGTGCAGGGCACTTGTTATTCCTGACTGCATCACTGATGTCAATGCATGTGCTATATGCATCATGGTCACTAACCAAAACCAAGCAGCACTCCCTGTCCAAGAGGTCATGGCTATATTGGATGGAAGAAATGACTGAAGAATTACTGTGTTCGTGTGCAGGCCACCATGACATAGGTATTTCTTTCCAGGATCTGCCTGCACACCACTGGGCTGTTAGGGGTTATATTCCAGAAGACAAAATGCAGTTGGTATGAATGAATAGCAGAGTTATTCCTGATGCCATTTCGTTCTAGACAATATCCTGTTAAATATGTAAAACAATGGAACCACCAAGAGTGGGAACTCCTCTAAAGTTTAAACCACTGAATAATGGCCATTTGCAGAGTGATTGATTTCACAAAAGCTGACTTCCTGAGTGCTTTTATCGTATCGGGGTCAGGTTATCTGTGCCAGCCCAAAATTCAGATATGAGCTTTGCCATAGTTTGGCATGTAGATACGGACTTGTTCAGGAAAACTTCTGTCAAGTGTTTCCCACACCTCCAGCAAGATATAAAAGTTGAAGGTCTCTGGGCTTTTCTGTCATTCTTCCTTTCTGCAGCCTCTTGGTCTTACCTAAAGGAAAATGAACGGGCTTGTGAGTATATCCATTTTTGAACTTGTGTTAGAAAATGTTCCCTCTTTCTATAAGCAAAAGGATAGAGAAGGTGATGCTCAAGTATGTGGTACAGTGTTGGGACTAATATGATCTGTGTATTGTTTCTTTGGGTTGTTCCATGGGAAACTTGCCTTTCTAGGGTGCACAGTAATCCCCTTGAAGGCAGTGGCAGCATCATTTGTGCAGAAGTTGGTTGCAATTCAGAAGAGGGATTTGGTTATGATTTAACAGCTATGGTTGTAGAAGCAATCAAGAAGAAACATGGCATCAAGGAGGGACTTTGGGAAAATGGAATGGGCTACTTATCATTCTGCTTTTCCAGTTGCAGGCAAAAGAGAGGTTGATAGTAAGAACTGAAGTCTTGTTTTCAGCTGATACATGTGTTAAGTGGGGGACTTTTCAAACTGATGCTTCTTCCCTCTATTCCTGAACTGGGGGTTTTATGGCACTGCCTGGTGTGTTCCTTTCACAGGCTGCAGTCCTTGTGTTGCTGGGAGTCTTCTGGACTCAGGCTTCGGCACTGGACGTGAGTACAATGGGAAGCCTTCTAGTGCATGTACTCATTTAATAGGTATCGGATGCTGGGCAGGGGGTGAAGATAATAGGAGGGAAAGCACAGAAGAAACTAAAGGTGCTTATGGCCAAATGTAGAGAAAACCAGCATTTGCCAGAGGTGGCAATCATATAAGCCAAAGAGGCAGCTCTGTGCAGGTGCATAGTAACAAGAAGTGTGTTGGGGTGTGTATGCTCGTAGCTCCAGCTGAAATTTGGAGGCTGTTGCAGTCTCCTGCTACTACACATAGTGACTGGGATGCCCTGTGGTGTTGTTCCTGAGCCTGCAGTGAGGGCCTGTCCCCTCCTTTCTCACTCTGACAACACTCGTGCATAATTAATCTCAACCACAAGATCCTCCTGAGCCTCTTGATAGTGAATTGAAGGGATTTTCTCTTTATATAAAGCAATGGTGCTTGTCTTTATTGCCCCTTTAAGAGCTGCAAGCCAGCTGATGACCAGTGATTTTGTGCTTTTTACCAAAGACCTTTCACCTGCAAGATCCTCAAAATGACTATGTCACTGGAACGATGACTATCGACAATGATAGCAAGATTGCTGAAGTCCACGTCCGTTCTGGCCTGTACTCCTCTGACACCATTTTTGACTACTCACATGTAAGTAAATCTAAGTATTTTGAAGTTTTAAACTCAGGAATGATTTTAGAGCATTCTCATCATAAGTTGTCCTGAAACATGATTTCTGTGAACACTCCTGTCACCTTTCCTCCTCTCGGGCTCCTCTTTGTTTCCCCCGTGTGATGTGTTTCACCTGGGTGATGTGGTGACTTACCATGAAACGTGTGGTGGCAGCTTGTGAAGGTGAGAAGGACGTCTCTGACCTCAGTGAGGTAGCAATGGCAGCAGAAGTCTGTCGGGAAAGATCCTTCCAGCCTTATGGCCAGACATAAGGGCAGGCTGCTTCCATTTCCCATAGGTGACAATGTAAGTGCAGAGTTATTCCACAGTAGTAGCTGTGTAACCTGTTTGTGTTTCTTCTAGGTTGCCCTAAGGAGTTAGAAAGAATCAGGTAATATTAGTGGCAGCCTTTAACTGATGAACTGCCCTTGTTTTGATCCCAGGGGTACATTGCAACGAGGCTGTTCTCACGAAATGCCTGCTTCATCATGAAGATCAACAAGGCTGACATCCCAGAGCTGGAAGAACTCGGACGCCAGGCCTTTGAGAGAATGGTGACTATAACAAACCCATGTAGGAAAGGTTGCTATCAGAGCTGTGTGCTGTGGCAGCAGCCCTTTGCTCTGCCTTTGAGAGCAGCTGTCCTTAGGAATGGCTTTTCCATTCCTAAGGTGATGGAGCAGATCTGACAAGATGGAACTGGAAGGGAATGTCGTGTAAAACTTTCCCTTCGGGCGATGAGCAATCTTGGCAGCCCAACACAGGGTTTTGTAGTAAGATGGCATTAGGAATAGAGCTGCAAGGTCCCCTGCCCTGGGAAGCAGTGTGATTTGAGCATTTTGAGGGGGTCACAGTAGGAGTTTAGCCTGGCTTTCCCTTGAGTTCTGCATTCTCTAACGTTACAGTACAGCACGTTGGCAGCCAAACGTACTGGCAGCTGACAAAACTCCTCGTGGTAGCAATACAGCTCCAGTTTGCTATCTTGGCAGCTGGTATCTAGTGCCCTTTGCTCCTGAATAGATTGAAAATGCTTGTTTTTCTTTAAAAGCTTCCTTACTGCTTTGTGTGAGGCAAAGGAAGGGGATTTAGAATGAACCCAAAGCCACATTGCTGACGATGTCTAACGCTTTCCTTTTAGGCTATGAAGACAGTGTACTCTCCAGACAATGTGTGGGTACAGTTCCAACCTGGCAATTCCATGTTTGGGAGTATCAGAGACTGGCTTGTCTATGGTAAACCCATTGAGCAGCTCTGCTCGGGTCTGCCTCTCTACCAGCTTGAAAAGACTCAACGTAAGTTACAAGATCAGACCATGATGCTGCTGTTACAGCTCATAAGCACCTTTCTGTCCTTCCAGACTAAGTCCACACAATACCTTTGAGGCAGGAACATACTGTCCTGCTTTAGAGAGGAGGAGTAAACCACGTAATAGCATTGAAAGGGGAAGGCTCTGGGATGCTTATATCTGAAACCCTGTTCCAAAGTGGTTTGCCTGGTATCAGAGGGAACCACTGTGTAGCAGCTGTACCCACTTGATGCCCCAGCAATACAATGGTCCCTTGTGGAATCTACTGGGTGCCATGTGTGACCTGCTGTAGCAGTTATGGGGAAGGTGGAGCACCAAGGCCATGTAAAGCTGCACAGACATCTCCTCCCTTTGAGTTACACCATAAACATCTTACACAGTATCACTGAGACCAACAGGAGCCTCAAACAGAACCATCATTGGGGGTTGAATTTGTGTGTTAGGCAGACTTTTCCCCACTGGATACAGGGATCTTATCACTCAATATCTTCATTTTCTTATTCCTTTTAGCACTACTGAATACCAACAACTGTGCCAGTGCAGGAATTCCAAGCATTTTGGGCATGCAGATCTGTGAAAGAATCAATTAGTCTGCATCCTGACAATTCTGCTGCATGGAAACACCTTGTTCCTTTGCATGCTCTTGTGGTGGTAGCCACATTCTCCAATTGGAACAAAACTGGGGGTCAGGCTCAACTTGCCCATCCAAAGCTTTGAGCTCAGCAAACCTCTGATATACAAATAAAGATAATGCAGTAACTAAAGTGCTTTGTCTGTTGTCTTCATCGAATCCCAGCCTGGTTTGGGTTGAAGGGACCTTAAAGCTCATCCAGCTCCAACCCCCTGCCCCGGGCAGGGACACCTTCCACTAGAGCAGGTTGCTCCAAGCCCCTGTGTCCAACCTGCCCTTGAACACTGCCAGGGATGGGGCAGCCACAGCTTCTCTGGGCACCCTGTGCCAGCACCTCAGCACCCTCACAGGGAAGAGCTTCTGCCTTATCTCCAACCTGAAAGCAGAACGGAGATGAAGTGTCCCTTTATTTTTCCTGCTGCAGAGACACGTTTCCCTTTGGTGCATTCCTGTGCTCAGGCTGCAACATGACCTGGGCATTGGATACGCTTCATACCAATGAAGAAACAGCCCCAGGATAGTTGTTTCCAGTGGAGAACTTCCCTTGGGAGTCAGCACCCAGCTTCTTCAGGTGCTGACTCACCTTATTGCTGGAGGAGGGGAGCAAACATGCATAGAGATAAAGGGATGGAGCAGAGGCACGTTATCAACATGTGCAGAAAGCAGCTTGAGTTCTCCAGCCAGTGACCATGGGCAGGAGCAATGGGTCAGAGAGCTGCTTTCACACCCAGATAGAGGAGATTATCCCCATCCTAAGCAGTTAACAGAGAATGACATTATCCCTTCACACAACGTCAGTGTACACAGAGCTCCGGCCACTTGCTGAGTGCTCCACATACACTGGGGAGTAGTTTGTGTCAGGAGCTGACCACAGGACAAGCTGAGGCAGCGCTGGTAGAGCTCAGGGAGTGGTTCCATTGACACATCCTTTCCATGGTGCTGGGAAGTTTGGTTTTGGGGGCTGAAGACTCAGTTATTGCTTAGTGGAGCCTTGAAAGTCATTCCTAGGGAGGAACCTGGCCCCACGTCTGCACTTTGTAACTTTCATATGAGACTCTTGGTTCAATCATCTGCTGGTTTGTCATATGGTGAAACTGTTCTTTCAGATTAGTTGGATTCACAACAGGCTGCAGGCTCTTGGGGATCCAAAGAATGGTTCTGGAGAGTCATACTTTGGTAATTAGAAGCAGGAATACTTGTGTGTGACTGAAGGATGCAGGGGACCTGCTTGAGTCGTGTTTGGAAGTGGAGCTCACTGATGGGGACATGAAACCAGGAGCTGTAGTTGTGATGCTCTTGGCTGGTGCGCGGTGGCTGTGAAACACCTCAGGGCACTCTGAGCACTGCTTGGCAAATGGAATTGTGTGAGATGTGGCTCAAAGCTTCTGAAGCTGTTGTTTTGGGACCTTCAAAACCTGGTTGGAAGCTCTAACCTAGCTCCCGACTGACAGCTGCCATGTTTCAACCCTGTCATTGTATCTTCTCTTGATAGAGGGCATGGAAGTCATGACAAGCCACTGCCCCAGTCAGCCAAGCTCTCCAAAGTTCACTATCTCAGACTTCCTGTATCTTCAGGGGTTCTGACACGACATCAACTGTGCAGTGAGAGTCTGAAGACCAGAGCTTGAAGGAGATCCCAAAGGAGCAAACTGGAAGAGCTTCCAGAGAGGTGGATTAAATGCATGGACAAAGCTGAGTCTTGTTATTCTAAGCTTACTATTGAATTCAAAGTTATTTGAAATAACTAGTCAGTGTGATCTGGTTTTCTGCCTAATTGCAGCATAGATGAGCCTGAACCTTTACTGTGTGTGCAGTGTAATAATGGTCCTTTGAGACTCTCATCCTGTTATTACTGGTTTCATCGGAATTAGTTTCTTCATTGATTAATGGAAGAGTGTTGTGAGACATGTGAGTGAGAGCTGCATAGAACCACTGAGTGGTTATGCATGGGTAGGAAAGATGCAGGGCTAAACTCATCCACTATCCCAGGGATAAAGAGCATCACTGGTGTGAAGAGTTCTCTTCTTCTCTTGCATAGCTGCTTACAGCTCAAGAGGACTGTTCTGGATGGACAAAAGAAGGGATATTTTGCTGCCTTGGTACTAGCAGCAGGAAACCAAAGCACCACCTTACTCTCTGTGGTTTACCTGCTGTCATGGAAGGAGGCAGGAACTCAGTGCAGCTCTTCAGTCTTCACAGAGGGCTTAAAAAGACCCTTTGATGTAGTTTGCCTGAATTCCATTGAAATTAGAAGCATACTTGAGGCCTTACACATTTTGTTTAGGAAGTATTGCACATGTATCTCACCCATAAGCTTTCAGTGTTGGCTGCCTACTAATTTTGAGGGCAGTGCCACAAGCTCAGTGGGTTTGCACTCAATACTGAGTAAATAGCTCTAGAAAGAGCAACTGAAACAAGCCTCAGTACCTCCTATCTGCCCTTTGATTTTGTTTGAGCTGGGAGGTAATGTTTCTGCCCTCCGTGTACTCAAGCAGGGAAGAAGATTGTTTCTGGCTTTTCTTCTAGTTCACAATCTCACTGTATCAGCCAGGCCTTAGCAATACAGTTGTGTTTATTGTTTGAGCAGTAATGCTTCAGCTATCCATCCACTCCGTGGCGTTCCAGTGCCACGGTGCACAGATACAGGGAACTGCTGCGGATGGAGCACCCTGAAGACACATCTCTTGGGATGTGCTGTATCTTTTGGGGTACAGCTGACACAAGGAAAAGGAAGCACAGGAAGATCCATATTCCACATGACCCATATGCCCATGTTCTTCTTCCTCTGTTTTTCACATGCGTGGGCATGTTGCAGCTCTGGGGCACTGATTTAGGAGGTCATGCCAGAAAGGGCTGTGGAGCAAAAGGAATTGATTCTGAATTTAGTAACTAACTACAGGACAAGAATTACCCCCAGCTCTGAGCAAAAGCAGGGAAAAGGGCCTATGCAGGAGAGAGAAGACTATCTATTTAATACTGTAGTTTGTCAGTGCTATTTCCTGCTGCTTCATTCTTTGCCATAGTTTACCCTGTGTTTTACCTGCCTGTCTTAGACTATAATGAATCTATTCTTCTTATCTTGCAAGGTGATGGATATTGCTACTCCACTAAAGGGAAAGACCAATGAAGCAACAAGCAGCAACAACAGGTAAAGTGTCCTTGAAGATATGGTCCATCTGTTGCCTTAAATAACTGTAGTCTGAAAACATTTTCAATCTTTAAATCTTTGCCTGTCAGCAAAGGGCCTGGACTGAATGTTCATCATCTGAGGGAACTATGGAGCTTTCATTTCATTCATCAGTTAACTGACATGTTGTATATAACATGAAGCATCTGCTGTCGTAGAGCTCATTATGTATCAGTAGCTTTATGGGTCACCTATTGGTGAGGATCTTTTTCCATTGTGATCCATGAGATTTCCCACTGGAATGGATGGAATATTCCCACTGGCTTCCACAGGAGGATTGCAGCCACTTCCCAAGTGGAGAGCAGCCAGCGACTGTTTCAGAAACAATGGGAGAGGGAGAGTTATGTTCAGGGTCAACAAAGCAAAGTGCTTACCCTAATAACTGCCTGAGGTTAATGTGCAGAGGGGATAAGGTGAGGCTTTATTAGCCTTAAGTGTAAGATTAACACCTTGGAAACAGCACAGGCAGCTGGTGTATGTGCACCAGGAGATGGGCAGGGCTGTGGTGATCCTCCCACAGCTCTAATCACAACAGTGAAGAAAGCAGCCAGTGAATGAGCTTCCATCCTAAAGACATGTTGGCTGTAAGGGTCTAGAGAGGAAGAGAGTATCAGGATGTGACTCTTATTGTCCTGCAAGTTACGTGATCTTTCCAAGAGCTTCTCTCCATCAAAGTAACACCCATGTTGTGGAAGTTCAAGTAGCTTCTCACCTAGGCTTGTCCTATAAAAGTGGGGGTTTATATGGAAGAGAGCCTGAGTATCTGTGTGCATATGTGGAAGTGTCTGTGTTATATGCAGAAGGGTGTGCGTGAGTATCTGTGTGCATGGGCACTGACAGCCTTTGTAGGTTAAACCAGTATTTATCCTGGGCTGGGATATCAGAATAATGCTGATTACTTGCTCCCAGCTCTTTAAAAAAGCTTGAAGGGTGTCTCAAGGCACTCCTGGAATCCGAGCAATGGTATCATCGGATGCGCACTGACAGGCAGCTAAAACATCCCAAGCCTTTGGGGAGGGCAGAATTAGCACACATTCCAGTCACATCTCCAGCCCTGCTGCAATTAACCTCTCTGGATCCTCACCCGTATCAGTGGTTCCTCACTGCCAAGGACACCACTTTGTCACCTGTGCTACACATTAATCCATTTTTACCACTGAACCCATTCCGTGGAGAACCCCCCCAGGTTTCCCAGTGTACAAGATCATGTACCAAGATCAGGGTACGACACCTTTGCCAGTTGTGGTGAGTTTAAAATCAGAGCTTAACGTGGCAACTCTGGCCCTGGTGAGCAAAGCCATTTAGATGAGGCTGCTCCTGTGAGGAAGAGGAGCAGATTGTCACGTATCTTGTCTGATACAGGACAACAAGTTCTCCACCTTGCAGCAGGTAATGAAAAGGGACAGATATTAACGATAGCAAATTGCCCCTTAAAGCAGGAATTTCCTCTACAGGAGAAAAATGAGGTCAGGTTCGAGAATCAAACCTGCTGTTTGAAACAGGAGTTTCATGATGGGAATGAGTGTCCCCTTGTCTAGGGCTTCCCACCCTTTTGGTGCTAATAACAAGGAGGAAGAAACACGTTGCCTTCATTTTAGAAGACAAACCCTGCCTCTTGAGTGTGTCTCTAAGCACCCAGGAGCAAATTGCTGTGCTGGAGCACTGAGACCCATGTGCAAGAAGAAAAGAGGACGCAAAAGGGAAGGACTTTCTGGAATACTCAGATATTAAGTTATTTTCTGGAGGGAGGTGAGCTGGGTTCTTCGCAATTC